CTTTTTTCCTCCATCGAACTGCCGAATATCTCTCCACCAGAGGATGACCTCTGTTTTGGAACTTCTAGTACTCCCTCATTTCTGTCCACTGTTATCTGAGTCTTGGGCTTATGCTCACTGGACACCTCCAAAATTGCATCCTGCACCTTTAACAGTCCATCAGTAGTATGTAACAAAAATTCCTGTAACTTATTAGCAACCTCCAACCAGCCCTGTCCCTTCTTCCCTTCTGGAAAGCACTCCAACTTTCTCCTTTTATCAAAGAGTTCAGTGACACTAATGAACCAGCCTTTTCCATTCCTTCTCAGCTCTACTTCAAATCTCTTCCTATGGATTTCTAGGGAGTTCCTCCAACCTTCCTTCCTTACAGAATAAGTAACTCCATCGATAAAACCTTTCAACCACAGAACTGCTGCATCATTTAGAATTACTGTCGCCCTTCTGTCTTCTCTAATTTTCAGCTGGTTTCTACCTCCAGCCCTTCCAAGATCAAACAAAAATCGCTTGGCCTCTACCTTGAACTCAGATTTCCACCTGTTCACCTTCTGAAACAATCCTATACTTCGGCCTCTCTCCATTGGACTCAGATTTCAGAGCCTTATGTGCTGTGTTGTTGCTCCACCATCTAGATGATCCAATGTCATTTCTTTTGTGAAATTACAGATACACATGAATTTTCATTAGAATTGCTTTCTTCTAGACAAGTATAAATGAATCAAGAACCTTCCATGTGGCAAGGTGAATGAGGGAGCCTTTCAAACTCCTCTCACCAACTCTATTATGGAACTTTGATCCCAATAATCCTTGCCTTCCCTTACCTTTTTTTTTTTCTTCTGGAGATATTTGTAGAAAATTTTGAACAATTTTATCCCAAAAACCCTAACCTGTGGATGTCTTATGTTAATTAAGTTACTTGGAAGCTTTCTGGTTGACAAGATTAAGGAACCTTTTTCCTAATCTGTGCGTCTGTTTATGTGCACGCACAATGTGCAAAACATGCACCCACACAGGCACGCACCAAAAAAGAAAGAGATGGTCAAGTTAATTTCAACATTTCACAATGTGTTTATTAGTTGATGTGCTACTAAGCATTTCGTGGTCCTTTGTGATGACTTGAATTAACGGTGATTTGATTAGCTAACATACACTTCTGGGCGCAGGTTCGATCTACTGGGACTTTGGATCAGGTCACCAGACAACCCATCAAGGGACGAAAGCGTGGTGGAGGTATCCGTTTTGGGGAAATGGAACGAGACTCGATCCTTGCTCATGGGGCTGCTTATTTGTTGCATGACAGGCTGCACACATGCTCTGATTATCACATTGCTGATGTCTGCTCCCTTTGCGGTAGCATCCTCACAACGTCCTTCATTCAACCACAAAAGAGAGCAGTGCGGGAGTTTGGTGGACTACCTCCAGGGAGGATTCCGAAAAAGGTTACTTGCCATGCCTGTAAAACGAGTAAAGGGATGGAGACTGTTGCCATGCCCTATGTATTCAGGTATTTGGCTGCAGAATTAGCGGCAATGAACATAAAATTGACACTCCAATTAAGCAGTGGAACAGAAGCATGAAAGTCACAGCACATGACGAACATATATGGTCGAGCCTGGAGAGCAGGGCCTTAAAGACACGCATTATACCTCTGAACCTCTGAACCATGGAGTGAAGCCAACATTATTATGCCAATGGCGATTAGTTCATTGGCTTTGGTTGGCAATTGCACATTTGCACTTCAACCTGTAGCTGCAAGAATCCTGCAACAATCATCGTGATGTCATGTAAAATTATTGGTTGATCCAGAACGATAAAATATATTATAACTACTTGTTAGAGGGCATCTTGGAGTGAAAGCATTCAAATTTTGATTATCCTGGGGCGAATATGTTCAAATTTTGGATCTAATTATTGTGCTTTCTAATTAAACCGGAATACTTGTTGTAGTTGGCTAGTTGCGGATGGGCAATTCTATAAACCTAAATTGGTTATTTATTTATGGGGAGCAATGTAACATTGTGATGATAAAAAAGACGTGGTTTAAAACATAATAAGAACATAAATCAAATTCTAGACCCTTCAAATGTCCCAAATTCTCAAATCATTCAACCACTTGAAGTTTGCTAGCAGGTGATTAGGTGTGCAAGTCAGGGCGGGTTAGTGTTAGCCCAATTTGTGAACCTGACCGAGTAAAACCGTCACCCTACCTAACCTAAAATCCCTCAACCTTGACCCAACCCAAAGTTGTTGGGTTTGGGTGAGGCCAACCTTACCTTTCTCCCATCTTGAAATCTCATAAATTGTTTCAAAATCTCTTGATATTTAATTAAGAGGCCAACACTGATATCATGACCATAGATTGATCATGTATTTATTTATTTATTTTGTAGTACAAATGTGAAAGAGGAATGTTTCAAATGATTAGAGCCCATTATCAATCATTGAAAATTTTAAATCATAATAATAAAACATAAACTCATTGAATTCCATTACACAAATTGATACTATTGTATGTAATGTAACTACAATACATTGTAGAATAATTGGATTGAGGTTGGTCGGGTTGCTCGAGCGGTCAGCCCTAACCCAACCCGAAGTGAAGTTGGGTTGACAAAATTCAACCCTAATGCTTGATTGTCAACCTAATCCAACCTTGCCTGACTTTTTCGGGATGGGTGTGGGTTAACCCGGCAGTTTTATACCTGAAGAAGATGGCAAAATCCCTTCCGAAATTCAAGGTTGTTGAGTTCTCCGGATTATGTTCTTACATCTACATGATATTCGTGGATGAAATGAAGGTGATATCTTAATTTGCATGTCTTATATAACCTATATTTAGCATGAAGGCTCAGTTTGAAAAGAATACAAATACAAAATACAAATGTGTAGAGTGCAAACTGAGCCTTAATCCTATACTGTATTTGTATAAAATACAAAATATAAACCTTACATATTTGTATTTGTACTCCTTCCAAACTGAGCCTAAGCAACAAGTTGGATGTTATACGGTCAATGCATATCGGTTTTCAAGGTAACCGACACGTTAGGAAAAATGGTCATATTTTATGGAAAGCCTTTCCAGTGATGATGGCCTGATATAAAGCTTGCAACGTAAAACTTTTTCTTTTACCCCTTTTAAATCATGTGATAAAACAAAATTGTGTACCAATCATATTGATACTTTAAACCAAGGTTTTTAAAATCAAACTGGAGGGTCCAGTTCCCAAGTAGAACAGTTCGGCCGTTTGAACCGAATGGATGGTCCATGCTGACAAAAATTTTAAAAATAATAAAAAAACAACCAAAAACATTGTCCAGGTCAATGGATCGATGGTTCAACGACCTGGGTCAGTGGTTCGTTGACCAAATCAACGATTTTTGGCCAAAAAATGGTTCTAGGCTGAAACAGAATCAGTTAAGTCCTGGTTTTCCGGTCCGACTGTCCAGTCCGGTCCGGTTTTGAAAACATTGCTTTGAACTTTGACCTCGAGGCCTCAAAGGAATATCGCCATGGACAGAAGTCACAGAACTGATCTGCTGTACCTGATGTTGCACCAGGAACAACCGCACCATCATCGAAAATCTATCCTGCTCTCTTCATTAACGCTATGTTTGGTTTGAAGGATAGAGTAGGGAAAGGAATGGAAATGCAGGGAAACCTATACAAGATTTGTAAAGGTTTCCCTTCCTTTCCTTTCCTTTTCCTACTTTTTCCTTCAAATCAAACATAGCTAAAAAGATTTTAATTGACATTTACAAGGAATGTGCAGTGATCAACGCTATCAAATTAAACTGATATGTCAAAATTGTGTTTTATCAACATTAAAATTAGGGTAAATTGCTGAAACTTCCCCTGAAGTTTGGTAATTGAAATGAAATCATCTCTCCTGAAGTTTGGCAATTTACCCTTAAAATTATATCAAAATCTCCCATTAGTAGAAAAGATGACAGTAATATTTTCCCAATTACCATAACTTCATAGGTAGGGCCAAAGGGACTGCATTCTTGTAGTCCAATCATACTTATACAAGAGAATTCCGATCAGATCTTTGGTGTCAGTTCTGCAACTCCACTGTATGGATCAGTTTTATTTTCTTCCATATTCCATGAAGAAAATACCGAAATCAACCCGATTCAGGTGACAGAAAAATGATTGCAATGTTGAGCCTATGGAAACTGGGTCGCATTTCAAGGGAGCCCATCTGTTTGAACAGATTTTTTTTTTTAGCTGCAAGGAAAATTATGCATTGATTAGATTACAAATAATATCAGGAGGGAAGTGGTCCCAAATTTGAGCACAATTACAATGTCTAAAGGTAGTAGCCAAAGTATGAGCCATCTGATTTTCATGACGCTGAATGTGATGGAATGAAACAGCACGAAATTGTGAAAATAACTAAACAAGTCGGCAATTATTTGAACAGATTGAACACAGTGGAACTGTTCCATCTTAGAGATGATACTCTATAGTCTATAGATGAGTAATGGCGAGATGGAAGGCTTTGGCTTCATCCGAAGTTCCGAACCATTTAATTGGAAGAAACCCAATGCGCCATCCAGGTTAATATGGTAACCTTAGGCGCTTTTGTTTTGCATTACATATATATAATAGTGCAAAATAACCTAAATGCAAATTCTGGTTCATGCTTCACCTTATTTGTTTGGGAGAAAGTAAATTGACAATGAAGGTGAGAGGGTTGTTTATTTGAAATGAATAAAAAATGTGGTGGTCCCCATTCAATACAAGAGAGAAGCTAGGAAAAAGGCAGTGCAAATTTTGCAATGGAGATAGGAGAAGGGAGTGGAGTGTGTATAATTTTGCATCTGACTGAATCGTGACTATTTCAATTTCAAATTCAGTGGTGGCTACTGGCTACACGAGAAAGGAATCATTTCGTAACTGCTTTCTTATATCAAGTCAGAATTCAGAAATATGTTTTTTTTTTTTTTTGGCAAAAAGAGACCCTTTTATTCACACTAAATTCATCTTACAACGCCAAGCATCGCTAGAGCAAAATAAATAAAACAACTCCTTTAGCCAGCTAGAAACACAAATATGAGCTAATACACTATTATATTTATATCCCCTTTCTATATACCGTACACTACATATATATCAAAAAAATTTGAACATCCATTTGATTTCCTGGATGAGCGCTTGTTCCGTCCATTTGTTAGGATATTTGCTCAACTGTGTCACCATTGAAGTTGAATAAACCTGAGAAACTGACTTTTCACAAACCATAAGCTTGAATCAATTGTAAAGGGCAGGTAGCTCATTCTTCTGCTTGCCCTGGACCTGGACCATAATACACTTTTGACCTACTGCTGCAACGAAATGATCATCAAGAGCGAGGACAACAAAACCAACACCTGCTTGAGAACAAGACGAGAAGGATCTATCTACAAAGATTTTATACATATCATGATAAATTTACATGCACGTCAATAGATAGTGAGGTGGCATGTGCAGCCTTATGGTGATTGGTGAGATGTGTGGTGCATGTTTTGGTTTTGATGAAACCCAATGAAGCTTACGTAACAGAAGAACTATTCCTCGAAAATGAAAGCTTCCCATAACAATCGAGCTGCAATCGCCCATTTGATAAGATAATCTTTTTTTTTTTCATGGTTATTCACGTCCAAGTTTTGGATCCATTTCTGAATTAATGTGTAGAGTTGCATCTCCTCATATAACTCTGGGTTGAAGCCAATGCATGCATGTAGCCAAATTTGTCGGGAAAATGGGCATTTTATCAAATGGTACTCGTGTCTCTTCACTGCTAATGCTACTGCTACTGAAACAAAAGCTATATGGGAAATCTGTGAAGAACTCCCCATAACACCCTAATCAACAAGGTTATAAATGTCTTCCACCATAGGATCAAGGATAGRTAATATTCTGAATTTAGTGCCAACACCATGAGATAAGATACATTTGTTGCTTGGCAAACCATAAGCTGAAAAGAAAATTATTGGTTGTTCTGTTTGAACAGACCTCACTGACCTCATTTTATAGAGGTCCTGCTCCTGCACCTGATAGGCCTAGTTTAGTTACTCAAAGAAAGTGAACCAATGGGTCATTTAAAGCACAATAGCAGCCTGTTAAGGAAATATTTAGCACTGGTCAATGCACATGTTACCATTAAGTGAGAAATGCATCAGGATATAAATGGAAAGAATAATAGTGACGAGGAAAATCAAATTAAATTAGAGAAGGAAACTTTGATACAGCATAGGATCCAGAAAATAGGTACCAAATCACATCGATGCCATAAAATTAATCACGAATATAAAATGCCAACGAAGACTAAAGAACTCTAGAAGTTATTGGGAGTGAAGTCCATAAGAAGCAAAACCCAAAATAAACTGTACATCTTTTGTAAATTGAAAACTAAAACAATGAACCACATTCTCAATATCATTACATTTATTAAAGTGAAGCTTTCTTGTGGAAAACTGGAACTTGGACCGCCTTACTAGCCCTGATTCAAATAAAACTAACCAATAGATAGAAGCTGTAGATGTATTAAACAGACCTAAACCTTTTTCTTTTTTTGCACAAGAAGATGGAAGAACCCCAGTTTGCTATTGTTGACCAAAGACACTATATAGGTGCAGCACATGTTGTTCTAAAATGACCTGTCTGGTTGCAACGGCTACAATGTACAACTCGCTTCACACGGCCACGGTCTTCGGCACGAACTCGCTTCTTTCTGGGTCTTCCAGGTGGCCGAAGTGACTTTGGCGGATTTATGTCAATTTCCACAGCTTTATTTTCTCCATTCTGAGATTCTGACAACTCTTTCCAGAGGCTTTTATCTGGAACAGGATGAATAGTCTGTGAGTATGTCTTCCGATAATTTGCAACTGTAAAACAGCTTTCTGTGAAGCGATGCACATTCTGCCGACAGGAAAGAAGTGCTGCCACAGCATGTGAACAGGGCAACCCATAGAGCTGCCAACCTCGACACAGGCAGCAACGGTTACGTATGTCCACAATATTTGTTCCTTCATGAGAAATCACTTCAAATTCTGCTTCATTTGCACGAAGCACTTGATAGGTGCGTGCACACTCAAGAGCCTCTTGAACACGCCTCTCAGCAGAAGGAACAAGTATTGTTGTCCACTGCATACTTGTTTCACGCCGTTCATTGAACCAAGTCATTAGCTGCCGACGTATACATTCCATCATCTGAATTATTGGAAGACCAGAGGCTTCAAGTATCCAGGAGTTTAATGATTCAACTATGTTTGCAGTTAAATGCCCAAATCGTGTTCCCTCAAAATATGCTGTAGCCCAGAGGCGCGGTGGGATACGTCGAATCCAATAAGCAGCATCTGTTGAGATCTCTTCAATCTCCAGTATCTTGGCTTCAAACTCAATAACTGTGAGAGCATGAGCAGCTTCCCAGAGAAGATTGACAAGCATGGTATTATTGAACTCCTTTCGAAAGCTATCACTCAGGTGACGCATACAGAAACCATGAAAAGCTGTTGGGAAGTTTGCCTCCACTCCTTCTACAATACCCTTCTGTCTATCTGACAGGATAGTAAGCCTTGGCATATTCTCTGTATTAACTTCAAGAAGGTTATGCAGCTCAGATAAGAACCACATCCAGTTATCATCATTTTCTTCATCGACCACCCCAAATGCCAAAGGAAATAGAGCACCATCCCCATCAAAACCAGTGGCAAAAAGCAAAGTTCCAAGGTACTTGCTCTTTAAAAGGGTCCTATCAAGACCAAGAAGCGGTCGGCATGCATTTACAAAGCCATAAATTGATGCTTGAAATGAGACAAAGAGACGTTGGAAGCAATTATCTACTGGGTTTCCATAAACTGAAGCAATACTTCCTGGGTTTGTCCGCTTTACTTGAGAACAGTACTGTGGAAGGAGGCGATACCCTTCTTCAAAGGATCCACGCACAGCAGCCATGATTCGCTCCTTCCCACGCCAGGCTTGCTTGTATGATAAGGTTATCCCATGAACCCTGTGGATCTCCTCCAATATCTCCTTTGGCTTGTAGTGTGGGTTTTCCCTAAGACTATGTTCCACTGAATTTGCAACCCATTGAACGGATGCTTGCTGATGGCCAAGATGTGTGATTCCTCCACAAGTGTGTTGATCATTTATGGTCCTGATAGTGAAAGTTGGAACACCTGGAAGTTTTGCAGCATGAATGCGCCATGGGCATCCTTCACTAGCACATTTGGCAGTAAACCGTGTCTTGTCTGACTTCACAGTCTGTATTTCAAAATGAAGAGCAATGGCAGTGTCCCTTAACGCTCTGCGACAGCTCTTGACATCTGGAAATTCTTGCCCAACACTGAGTTGGTGATCTGGATTTGTAATAATACTACGGGTCTGAAGAACAGGGGATAATACCAGCTGAGTCTGCTGAGGAGTCATATCTTGAGCAGGTTCTATCCCCATCTCCTGGTTCTGGACCACAGCTAGCTCTAGGTCCTGATCAAGTTCGTGGTTGTCAGTAGTAGCCAATTCATGGTTCTCCGACAACACTAACTCGTGGTTCTGTGAAGCAATAGCCAATTCTTGATCATTCTCGTCAATGTCATCGTCATCTTCACCAGCATCAGGGTCATGATTTTGAGCCAGTGCTAATTCATTCTCTTCTTTTGCATCATGGCCATGTGTCTTCCGGAGACCCAATTCATGATCACGGGCCTGCCCCAAGGCTAGTTCATGATCATGCACATGTCCCAAGCCAAGTTCATGGTCGTGTGTCTGCCCCAAACCCAAGTCACGATCGTGGGTCTGACCAAGACCCAAATCATGGTTCTGTGCTAAACCCAGATTATGATTATGCCCCAGAGCCAACTGCTGGTTCTGCCCAAGCGCCAAATCGTGGTTTTGCCCAAGAATCAAATCGTGGTTAGCCATCGAGAATGAACCACGAGACAGTTATTAAAAATCCCTCAAGCAAAATGCTCAACTTACTGTTAAAAGACCTGCCTTTCAATACGCTATCCAAGCAAGCCTGTTTTGCAGAACAGATGATGTAAATAAAAGAACAGTCTTGATTTTCTTTTTGCCGATTCAAACCTCCACCAAGTAAGTAAAAGAAGTCAAACAAGTAGAAGAAACATGAAAGAGAATACTACCACCCGAGTAATCAACTATTAGCTTCTCGAATCCGTGAATCACCAAAAACAATGAATTCACGACCCCTCCAAGTTTCCCACTGACACATGGATTCTTCCACAACCGCTGGTAATATAAGAAGAAAAAAAAAATCAAAATAAGCAAACCAAGCCCATTAAGCAAAACTGTAAAACTAAGGAAAAACACCAGAACACAGCAGACCAACAAAATCAACAACTACAAAAACCAGAAAGCGTAGTTTTGAACAATACCTCAAAAGGGAAGAAACTTCCGCGGAGATATCACCAAAGTAGAGAAACCCGATCCCCAAAAGTAAAAAAACTCAAAAAACCCTAATTCCGAATACGATTGAGCGTTCCAACAGAAACTGCTTCGAAAGCTTAGAGCACCTTCACAGAAACGAAGCTGGAAACACAAGAAAAAAAAAACAAGGTTAGAAACAGAGAACAATCTGATACAGATCTAATGAAGGAAAAAAAAAAAACCCCGAAACTGCAATTAGGGTTTCGAGGAAGAAGAGAAGTGAAAAGAGCAGTAGTAGAGCTTCTGCCTACAAACGAAACATTTGAAAAGAGAAACAAGAATTTGGCGGGTAATAGAGGAAAACCTGAAAGACGAAGGGGTAGAAGGTGGGAGATGAGAATTGCAGGGGCAAAGGGCAGAAGAAGGGCTTCCGAAGCCTTTAGCGATAAAAAGCTAGGGCAGAGGCAAAAAAGAGGGTATTTGCGTCAAAATATAATCCCCTTTCCTTCCTATTTATGTTTTTACCAAAATACCCTCTCCACACTCCACCGCGCCACGCAGAACTCCTTTTCCCTTCCCGTTTTGATTTGAGTAGAGACCTTGTCACCTTACTACTACTTCATGGATTCTGTCCAGGTGTATAGAAACTATAAACATGTCCGGTCCCACAAGATGGATGGTTGGATACCCTTCATCTGGTAGGTCCCACTTGGAGATCTCTTAAAATCACTTGCTTTTCTTCTTCTTCTTCTTCCTTCTTTCATAAATTTTTCCTTTTTTTTTTCAAAGAATAAATAAAAGGAAAAATTATTATTAATCAAATTTAAAAAAATAATCTAAATAAATTTGCATATAAGAGTGAGAGAGAGAGAGTAAGAGAACAAGAAGAATTTAATTATTCACAAGCCTAGTTTCTTGGATTCATCCATAAAACAATCTTTCCTTTCCTTATAAAAGCCGGTGTCTGGTGGAACATCAAAAGTAAAGTGAGGGCGATATAAAAGAAAAAAAAAATAGAAGGTTTCAAGACGTTGACTGCTTTGTTGGTAGCATTAATTTATCTTGTATTTGTTTGATGAATGCCACATTAACTACTATAAATATTATATAAATTAATTATTTATAAAATTAAAAATCAAATACTTTGTGATAAATTAAGGTTTTAATAGCAGCAGTCCTCACTCCCAAAGTCATCGTATGTTGTTCCTATGTAAAGAAGTGAGGTTTTAATGAATTATGTAAATTGGAAATGGGAGAGAAGGGTATTTAAGGGTGAAAAATATGATTAGAAGGGTAGATTTGTTGTTTTTGAAAATAGGATGGGAATAAGACGATTAAGGGCAATGGTATTTGGGCGGGGGAGGAGGGCAGTCTTGTAACAGTGGCCTTGTCCCGACCTACTTGTATCGAGTTTTTCATGAAAAGCAAAGGTTCTTTGGGCATTTCCTTCTGTTTTTTGAGCTACTTTGGACATTTCCCAACTCCCCCCCCCCCATCCCATGCCTTCTTTTATATATTATATTTTATTTATGGAGTTCGAATCCACGCTTCCGGTTTCCGTGGCAAAGACGCGCTTTCTAGCCTTTTGGTTTTGGATCAACCACCGAGGCCTCCCTTCTCTTTGGTTTGAAGGAAAAGGTAGGGAAAGAAAGGAAAATATAGGGGAATTTATACAAGGTTTATAAGGTTATGTTTGGTTTGAACAAAACGGTAGGGAAAGCAAGGGAAAGATAGAGAAACTAATACAAGATTTGTAAAGGTCTCCTTATCTTTCCCTTCCTTTCCCTACATTTTCCTTTAAACCAAACATAGCCTAAAGTTTTTCTTACATTTCTCTTCTTTTCCCTACTTTTTTCTTCAAACCAAACACAGCCTAGTTCAAACCATGGTAGGGGGAGTCCAGATCACCTTCCCCATTCATGATGAGATATGTGGTGTTAGAACTTGGAATGTGTGTTGTTGGCAGAAGATCCCAATTCGGTGGAGTTCAAATCAGCCCCCCACAACGTTCCACAGCACATCCCTGCCATGTATTGAGAACATCTTCCGATGATAATACCAATAATGATGATGTCATCATTGGGAGATGTTCCCAATACACAGTGGGGATGTGTTGTGGGACGTTGTGGGGGGCTAATTCATCAATTCGGTGCTAAGGGAGGGGGGGAGTCCACATCTTCTTTCCTAATTTTATATATCAAATCAATAGCAATCTGCCACATCATTTAAACAGGCTGGTGTGGCAGATTGCTATTAATTTAGTACAAAAAAAAATGTTTATACCAAGGGGATAGAGGATGTGCTTTCGGGGGTGATAGAGAAGGCCATTATATTGCCTGGGTTCATAACTTGCCACGTGTTATTTAGCTAATGGGCCCTACACACTCAAACCCTCTATTGATGGGCCCTATGTCAAAAATATTGTTCGAGATTTTAGAAGCACGTGCTCTGCATGGGTGAAAATAAATGCAAAAATCAATAATTAAATTCACTAATGTAAACCAAATATGATAACAAAAATCTAATTTGGGATGAAATATGGTATTGACCTCAACTTGGGAAGGACTTGGATGTAGGTCTTTAGTAGCTACTAATGGAGGGTGATTTGGCCCGACCTCATAATAAGGGGACACGTGGATATAACCCGACATAAGTGACAACTCAGAGCTCAGTACAATTCAGCCTAACAGTTCGCCCGAAGTGGCAGTTCACTGCAAGATGATACTCCGGCACCCCGAGCTAAGACTCCCAAGTAGGGAGCACCCCGAGCTGAAGACACCTCGGGTTAGGCTCATCAGTCCCCTAACTAGGGCCAGTTTGCTCCCACCCAAACTTAGGCTCTCAGAGACCCACCTCAGAGAAGCACCTCGGCGCAACACCAGTAGCTCGGTGTAAGGTAGCTCGCGACAGAGCAACTCGGCATATCATGGGAGATTACTGCCTGACAACCGTACCTGCCAGACTGCACCCACGTCTCTCGCCTGGCGGCGTCTGGCAGGACCGTACTCTACAGCAATTACCTTTGCTCGCCAGCACTGCTCTGACAGATAACGGCCAGCCACGCCAAGCCGTTATTTGACAGAAGATAGCCGCAGCAGAGATTTGGAGGCAGTTACACCTGATATGTCAGAAGACCACTATATAAGGACCCCGACCCCCAGGGGCAAGGGGATCACGTGATCATCACTCTTAGTTCCTTGATTTCTCTGCATCTCTCTCTCTCTCTCTCTCTCTCTCTCTCTCTCTCTCTCAGCTCTCAGTCTGAGTTACTAACTTGATCGTCGGAGAGTTCCCACCAGGTGAATCCCCCGGGATCCTTCATCTTCTTCCTCGCAGGTGTCGCGTCCGTCACCAGCTAGGAGCTCAGCTACTGCCATCTAGGAGTGACCAGATCGCGCTCCATCAATTGGTGACGTCTGTGGGAAACGCTTCGAAAAGCCTATCTCACCAAGAAATTTCAGTCAAGTATCCATGGCTTCCTCCAGCAACGCCGAACGCAATGCTGACCAGAACGCCTCCAGGGGACAACCCCAAACCCTGACAGTATGCATCGGCCAGTTCACCGTACCCCTTTCTGCGGATGGAGTCTCTACTCTGAATGTGCCCCAGATCATGGCGCTGATAAATGCTCCACTCCCCCCACAGTAGATGCGACCTTTGCAGAATCGTCCGTTCCCCCGGTGGCTGGACAGAACCAACTAGAAGACCCGATGCACTGCATGCAAGCTATGCAAGCTCACATGCAGCAAGTCCAACAGTTTCAGTTGTACCAGCAACAAATGTTGCACTACGTCCATCAGCAGCAGTACCAACAGCAATTTCCACCACTACCCCAGAACCAGCAACAAGTTCCACCTCGATACCCAGCTACGCAACAGGCCAAGTCCCGTCGTCGCGGCGAGCACCCCCCATCGCCGGGGAGAGATCTCCCAAACTCAAAACCCTCTTGGGAGTCAAGCCTCATCCTGCGGCAGGAGGGAAAGACAAGCCACTCTCCCCACCTCGCAGCATGTAGTCAGGTCAAGGGACTCTCAGCCAACTAGACCCGCATCACCTCGGCCTTCACAGTTCGAGATCCCACTCGTCGAGAATCGTTTCGAGGTCCTGGCTGCGGATTATAGACAAGGCCCTTCGATCCACAGCCGTCGACAGCAGTCTGAGCCCCTCCCCGGGCTTACTGTGCCCGACAACACAGAGGCCAGCAGCACCAATGTAGAGCCAACAAAGAAGTAGCGGAGATGCCGCCAAGCTCGCCGAGTTACAGCCCAGTGCTTGCCCGAACTCCCCAAAGAAGAGGCGAGCTTGGGAGCGGTGAAAGTCACTCCGCTCCTCTCTGTACCATCTCCTCTGTCTCCCAAACTCCTAGCCGTCCCAATGCCCAAAGACTTCAAGGTACCTCCCCAGGACAAGTATGATGGATCATTCGACCCGAATGATCACGTAGATGCCTTCCAATCGCATATGCACTTAGCCGGGGCAAGTGAGTCCTGCATGTGTGTAGCCTTCTCCACCACATTCAAGGGAGTAGCTCGCACGTGGTACAGGAACCTCGCGCCTGGAACGATCAAGAGTTGGACACATTTCGTGCAGGTTTTCACCTCCCACTTTGTCTCCATCAAGAGATGCTCGAGGACCCAAGAAAGCCTCCTCGGCATAGTCCAGAGGGAAGGGGAGTCCATCCGCAGCTACATCAAGAGGTTCAATGATGCATGCCTGCAGATACCTGACCTGGACCTCGTGGTGAGGCTCATAGTAGCCAAGAGAGGCATAATGCATAAGGAGTTCAAGTGGCACGTGGTTGTCAATAGACCTAAGGATGTAATTGAATTCCTCAAGCTTGCAGACCAGTTCATCAGAACGGAGGAGGAGATGAACCAGAAGAGCGAGAACCTACCTGAGAAGAGGAAAAGAAAAGGTGAGTCCTCGACCGACGGGGACAGCAAGAAGAAGAAAGTGCCAGCTCGGGGAGGAAGACCATATCAGTTTTTTCGAGCTCCTCCAACCGAAAGAACGAACTACATGCCATTGAACGTGAAGCGAGCTGAGATCCTCATGGCGATGAAGGATGCACCGTACGTGAAGTGGCCACCCCAGCTGAGAGGAGATCCGAATGTTAGAAATAAAAATTTGTATTGTCGTTTTCATAAAGATCATGGTCATAGTACCAAAAACTATAAAAACCTCCGCGATGAGATAGAAGAGCTCATCTGTCGCGGATATTTGAGAAATTTTGTACAGAACGATAATAAGACAGGACGGCAGGGGGAGCAAGGTAGAGGCGCTCCCGAGTCCAGCAGCAGGCAAGGCGAGCAGCCGTAGAGGCCGCCCCCCGAAGAGAGGCCAGTTCGGGGAACAATCCACATGATCACCGGCGGATCGATCGTCGCGGGCTGTACCTCAGTTGCGGCTAGGACCTCGGCTCGCAAGATAAAAAAAAAAAGAGCAAAATCCCCCGAAGTGACTGAGGACGGAGG